GAAAGAAATCTTGGTGACATTAGAACTGCACACATACTATTAAGTCAATTTAGAAAACTTTATTCTAATTAGGTTTAATCTTCTTGTTACCTCTTTAACATCAAGTTAGAAAACATGTACCCAGGCCACAATATTTTGGCTCTTTGAAATGTCTGTAGTTACTCAGACATTTCTTGTAGCAATCCCTCTTCCCCCTCCCCCCAGATTTATCTCCCTGAGCAAAGGAAATAAAAGAAAAAAAATCAACAAATGGGACTACATCAAACTAAAAAGTTTTTGTACCGCAAAGGAAACTATCAACAAAATGAAAAGACAATGCACTGAATGGGAGAACATATTCGCCAATGATACATTTGATAAAAAGTTAATATCCAAAACTTATAAAGAACTCAACATCAAACAAACACCAATCAAATTAAAAAATGGGCAAAGAACCTGAATGGACACTTCTCCAAAGAGGACATGCAGATGGTCAACCTCCCTAATCATCAGAGAAATGTAAATTAAAACCACAATGAGATACCACCTCACACCTGTCAGAATGGCTATTATCAATAAATCAACAAATAAGTGTTGGTGAGGATATGGAGAAAAGGGAACCCTCGTGCATTGTTGGTGGGAATGCAGATTGGTGCAGCCACTGTGGAGAACAGTATGGAGTTTCCTTAAAAAATAAAAAATGGAACTACCTTATGATCCAGCAATTCCACTTTTGAGAATATATCCAAAGAGACCTAAAACATCGATTTGAAAGAATTGTGCACACCTATGTTCATTGCAGCCCTATTTACAATAGCTAAGATTTGGAAGCAGCCCAAGTACCCATCAGTACATCTATTAATATATATATATAAAAACCTAAGCAACCGGCTGACTGGCTGGTAGCTATAATATGCACTGACCACCAGAGAGGAGATGCTCAATGTGGGGAGCTGCTGAACGACAGCAACTTTACAGAGTACCTCCTCACACTCCAGGACTCCTCGGGGGATATCAGACTGCTGGTTTCACCCAATCCCCACAGGCCCCTAGTGAGTAGATAAAAGAGCTGTGGTACATTTACACAATGGAATACTATGCAGCTGTAAAAAAGAAGGAAAACTTACCTTTCAGGGCAACATGGATATTATACTAAGGATATTATATTAAGTGAAATAAGTCAATCAGAGAAAGACAAATACCATATGATTTCACTTATAACATAAACTAGCAAACAGAGAACAGACCGACAGCTGGGGGCTGGTAAAATAGGTGAATGGATTAAGCAAAAAACAACAACTCACACATACAGATAACAATAGAATAATTACCAGAGGGAAAGGGGTTTGGGGCAGGTACAAGAGGGTAAACAAGAGACAAATGGTGACAAAAGATTAGACTTTGGAATGGTGGACACACAATAGAATACACAGATGATATATTATAGAATTGTACACTTAAAACCTATATAATTTTATTAACCAATGAAACCCCCACAACTTCAATTAAGAAAAAACTGAAAATTCTCATCCACAGTATAAAATAAAGTAAAATAAAACCTATAGTTAGCACTGGGTAGAAGTTGAACACATACTTGTTAAATGCATGAATAAATGAAGGAATGAATGACTTGCGTTCTTCCACCATTTTAGGTTATAAAATGAAAAGAGAATTAGTCTTGGAAATCAGCTGGATTAGGGTATGAATCCTAGTTCTGCTACTTGCTACTTGCCTCAGTGGGCTTTCCACAATGAAATGCAAGGCAGCCCAGAGAAATGTCTGCACTAATTTCCTATTGCTATTATAACAAATTACCACAAATTCAGTGGCTCAAACCATTCCCTTCCCTCTTCCCCCCTCACACACACAGAGATTTATTATAGCACAGTTCTTGAGATCAGAAGTCCAAAATGGGCCTCACTAGGCTAAAATAAGATGTTAACAGGGCTGTGTTCCTTCTGAAAGCTCCAGAGGGAGAATCCATTTCCTTGTCTCTTCCAGCATCTGAAGGCTGCCCACATCCCTTGGTTCATGGTGTTTTCTCCATTGTCAAAGCTAGAAAAGTAGCATCTTTAAACCTCTTTCTGGCCCTCCTCCTTCCCTCTTCCATCTTTAATGTCACTTGTGATTACATTGGGCTCATCTGTATAATCCAGAATAATCTCTCCTTTTCAAGGTCCTTATCTTAATCACATTTGCAAAATTCCTTTTGCCGTGTAAGGTATCATGCTCACAGGTGCCAGGAAATAGACATGGATGGCTACGAGGGGAATGCGGGGTATTATCCTGCCTGCAACAGTAACCATGCAGCCAATGGCTGCACTTACCAGATTGATCCAACAGTGATGGGAAGCATCTCCATTCCCCTCCAGGGTAACACAGATAATACGTTAAAAGTGCTCCCAGAGCCCAGCTAGTGTGGCTCAGTGGTTGATAATTGACCTATGAGCCAGGAGGTCATGGTTGGATTCCCAGTCAGGGCACATGCCTGGGTTGTAGACTTGATACTTAGAGTGGGGTGTGCAAGAGGCAGGCGATCAATGATTCTCTCTCGTCACTGATGTTTTTATCTCTCTCCCTCTCCCTTCTCTGAAATCAACAACAAAAAATATATATTTTTTTTAAAAGTGCTCCCACGGAGCATTCTCCACTACAAAAGCAGTGAATGGTTGGAAGGAATCTATTTCTACCTGAGGGTGACTCAGTGGTCTTCCCACTGTGGGGCAGAGGAAAGGTCTTGGTTCTCAGGAGGCTTCCTTCGATTTTGTAAGACAGGGTCAACTTCACTGCAGCTTGGTTGAGTGTTCATATATATCGATATAAGTGTTCAGTTGGCAGAAATCATTCCTTTAATGGTAACCTTGAACTGTGATTCACACCACCCATCAAGTCTTGGGGGGGAAGAAACCTACTCACCTGAGATGGGCAGACCAACCACACCTTTAAACTGACCTAAGATCAAGACAGACAACTTCCTTTTGGCCCTAGGATATTTGCTTTCTTTCACTGTAGTTTGCTTTACTTTGGTGCTACTAGATTATACTAGGGATACACCTTTTTTTTAAAAAATCAAGGAAATAATGGCATTTATTGTAACAGTTTGTTGAGGATGTTCATCACATTTCTGTATACATTTCTTATGAAAAAACAAACAAACAAACAAAACACTAAGAAATATTCCTCAGTTCTCAAAACCCAGTACCAGTTATAATTCTCTATAATAACTGGTTATTCCCACCAAGTAGTCTATCGAATACATGTTATGTATTCACATTGCTGGTCATTTTTCCCTATTTGCACATAGTATTAGGAAGCTAAGTACCAAGATTACTGTCCATCTTCACCAAAGCATTAGGACATCATAGCCTACATTATGTGTGACAATTTATTTTCCTCCCCTTATTGTCCCTTTCCCCCAGAGGCTTCATCTGTTTCACATCTTAGTTCTTATTATATTGTAATGTCTGTAAAGCCCAGAATATGGCATGGTAAAAACTTTGATTTGCAGAATTTTTTTCTCTTTTGTGAGACACATGCTCCTGACACATGCCTCTTTGTTCCAGGAATATGGCCATTTAAATGAAAAATCTAAAAACACAAAAGGAAACATCATCAGTGCTAATGTTTAGAAACTGACTCTCAGGAGAACTGTGTTTAGCATCATTGTAAAGACTGGTGTTTCTGTTGATAATATGAAAACAAGTCTCCAACGCTTTGTATGCTGAGCACACTGAGATCATAAATGCTAGGATTCTAAATGGCTTGCTTGCTGTTCGCACACTAGCTGGCATTGAAATCTCTTTCTATTCTAAGGGATGTTTAGCTTTTATTATATCTTTATTCATGGTCAAAAGCCATTAGCAAATTTGCTACAGTGATTGAAGATATTCCTCTGAAGGCATTCCTCAAGTGTCATCTCTTTGCCTTCCTGTTTTTTTTGTTTTGTTTTGTTTTTTGTATGTGAACTTGTCTTCTCAGAAAGGAAAAATGCTTTATACATTGTAGGGTTTTGGTAATGGTAAAAACTCAATATTTTAAAAAATCAATGTTAGCATGACCTCCAGTGAAAATATCTCCAAGTTAGACCCAAGCATAAGAGTTCATATCCCTGAGTTCATCAAACTACAGAATCTCCAACACTGAGAACCTCTCAAACCCTACTAGATAGGATATCAGGACCTTCTCTTATTAATCTCTAACCCATTGACTCCAGAACATAGTATGTATTCAACAAATACTTGTTGAATTAATGAGTGATACCTCTCACTCTCAGAAAGACTGCAGTTCTACTCAACCACAGTAGACCATGAAGGGAACACAGGGCTTGTCATGTGGCAGGCATGCAATATGTTCTGAGTAGCTGTCATTGAGACACATCTAAGCCATGGAAGAAATTTCTGTCATCTCTGAACTCCAGAGCAGCAATTATTCTCCCCCTTGTCAAAGACATGCCTGATAGATGACATTCGCGTGTGCAACTACTCTCACGGGTGTACTTACTAGTAGGTTTATGTGAAATTCCAATTGTGCTAGTACAATCTCAGTCTCCCTTTCTCCCACTCAAGAAAATACATCAGAACACAAATGAATAAGGATGGCATTAATATAGGAACAATCTTGAATTCATGGCAATGTATTGAAAGAGTAAATCATTCACCATTTTAGCATTACAAATAATAGTAATGCAGGACCATGAGACATCTCACAGTGATTGACAGAAATAGCTCATCATCATACCAAGACCAAGGGTGCTTCTTACAGTAACCATCTCTGAGACCCACTGAGTCCTAACATGCCATCTTGAGGACCTTCCCAAACTCCAGAGAAACCATCTCTGAGGCTCATCCTATCTACAACACAGTCATCTATACAATCTCTTCTGTCCATGATGTGAGCTTCAGCAGAGATCATCGCGACTCCTGGAAATATAATAGCTCACATAGGAATCTCACTGTCACGTGGGTATCACTCCACTTTCACCATCATGGCCTGAGGAAGATGCCTCACAAGCACCAACTTACCACGCCGCCACCAGCTGAGTGCACGAGCACAGACATCCCTTCTCGGAGGTTGGCAATTTCAAACAGCATCATGTAGGCTGTGACGAAGTTCATGGGGAAAGCAGCAGCCTCAGAGAAGCTCATATCATCAGGGATCTTGTAGACAAACTCCACGGGCGTGCAGACCACCTCTGCCCAGGCGTTATAATTGACAAATGCCATGACACGGTCCCCAATCTGGGCATAGGGAAGCACAGGGTTAGTGAAGTTTTCTTAACCTTTTTGGGGGGGTTTCTCAAATACTCAATAATACGATGAAAATTATAGATTCCTTCTCAGAAAAGCATAAATATACAGTGTGGAGCACATCGCACACCATGAAATGTCAGCGTCAGGTCATTTTACTCACTCAACCTCTCATCTAACCTCTCTGTTTTGGAACTGAGAAAAACTGAACCACAAGAAAGGTTAATGGGCTAAGGCTAGGAGTAAAATCTACTCTTGTTTGTTCTCTGCCAACCCACATGGGTGCTCCGACAGGCTAGTTCATTGTGGCCTTTGCATCAAAGGTTAGCACTGAGTTACCGATCACTGTGGACGGGAATTCGGTGCATCAGAAAAGCCATGTGAATTAAGTGGAGACTTGATAAGAGCAACCAGGCTCAGAGGCAAATAAGAATATGCCACCAGGTGTGAGAACAACTCCCATTTATTAGACATATGTTATATGACAGGGATTATCCTAAAAACATCGCATGTTTTAACTCATGTAATCTTCAAAACCCTTATAAAGGCATGGCTGAGTACTGTGTTTTACCATGAAAAAAAAAAAAAAAAAGAAAGAAAAAGAAAAGAGCAATCATCTTGTTAAAGCAGTTATGATGGTATGATGGTATGCTAAGTGTGGGTTTTTTTTCATAGCTTATCATTATTAAAGCAAAAAACAAATAAGTGAACCAATACTAATAGCTTGTAGGAGCTGCAAAGTGCTAGCTAAAGCGAACCATGCTGCTATTTATGTTAGTGGCTTGTATTATGACTTTCAAATGCAATACTCAAATTGCTGTGGTCCTAATAAATTCTCAATAAATTAATAGCTTTCCTATATGTGTGTTGTTGTATATATATTTATAATGGATTCTACTGCTATTTTAAATTCTTTGTAGCTCAGCATTTCTCTTCTATCCCTACTCAACAAACTGCAAAAGGCTCTTATGAGATGGTTTCTATAAGAATCCCATATTACAGATGAATGATTGTAGATTTCAGACATTTAAATTGATGCAAAGAGAGATTAAAGAATATGCCCAAGGTCATGTAGCTAGAGAGCAGCTGGGCCAGGATTTGAATCTAGGCAGGCTGACTGCAGATAAAATAATTCATTACACCTGAGATAAGGGATACAAAAAAGACAAAGTTATATAAGGATGTCCAACAGTTGAACCTACCAAGTCTGGAATGTTAGTTTAACTCTAAGCCCCAGTTTCTTCAGTTCTCAAATGGGTATAATATTAGGAAATGGTCCTTATGAGATTAAGTAACATAATATGCATGCAGTGCACTAGGCAGTATGCATGTAAAATGAGGAAAGAGCAATCAGTGTTGACTTAAAAAGAACAGATGGTTCTTGATCTCATGGAATTCACTGTTTAATGATCAAAAGCTAAATATAGACCCAGTAAACTTTATGAAATGGAAGGAGTAGCTGTCTAATTATGAAGCTGATGAAAAGAAGAGGCTGTCCCACTGACAATGAGTGTCTCAATCCCTGAGAATGTTGAAGACTTAATGGTGAATGTTGGGAATATCACCTTAAATGAAACGACTTGGGCCAGAGGATCACTGTGGTCTAACACTGGCTTCCTCTTCTGCACAGAATCATCAAAACCCAAAACCCAAAACAGTGTGGCTAATGGCCTCCAGTGTCAACATAGAGTGGAATGAAGAGTATTTCAACCACAGTGAGGGTTACAGCACCAGAGCAGGGCTGACTGCCTCCCTCTTTTCAATTTCATTATTAAATGGCAAAAGGGCTAAGCCATCAGACCAGCTCCAGACCCAGAGACAAAAGGTAGGCAACTTAAAAAAAAAATCCAATTCATTTCATTATTTGATTCTATTAAGGAAAAAAAAAAAAAAAAAACAGTCTTGGGTGATGAAGTCGGAATTATTCCTTTACTGCTGTGCCTCTGGCAACAGTTTTTCAAGCCTCTGTTGCAATCTATCAACCAGGAGAGCTATTAGTGTGCTGCTGCATGGAATTCCATCTCTACTGGATTGAAAATCTTAAATCAAAATTATAGAAGGAATTTTAATATTGGATTGCTCCCAAATCATCTCCTGACTGGAAACCTGTAGGTGGCGTCTTTTATTTGTGCCACTGAAAGTCACTGGAGAGAAGTGGGGGTGAAGGATAGGTTGGAGAATATGCAAGCCAGAGCTAACTAGCAGAAGAAAGGTCATCTTTAGAAGGGAAAATACACATAATCAAGCAGAGTAACTCCTCCCTCTACACCAAAGTCAACAACATCCCTCTCTGCTGTTATATTCTAAAATAATGGGTTATTAATCCAATGCTCAATTAATAGAGTTAGTAGTATGATTTTTTTCTTTGGGACCCTGTGAAGGAGTGAGGAGCAGATAATATTTCTTATATGCAGCAATTTTGGGGAGAGATGCTGCTGCCTCTGTTATATTGCTTATCTGGGGACAGAAAATGCAAAGTCATATACAAGAAAAGAAAAAGTACACATACTTCTCGCTCAACACTTTTCTGCTATATTATCTGAAAACTATGGACAAAAAGAATGAGCGGTGAGAAGATATTTCTAGACATTTATCATAATGAACTTGGAGCATATTGATACTTTCAGAGTATACTGAGGCTCGGATGCACTGATCAGCAGGCTCCAAGTCAACTACAAGGGCATCTTGGCATTGCATTTTATAGGATGTTTCTTCCTGCACTTAGTATTGCAACATTTGCAGGTTGAGAGCAAGGGCAAAGATCATGGGGGAGTGAAAAGGCTCTGGTGACCCGAATCCAGATTTTACTACTATGTACCACCTTTTGGACTCCACAGAAAAGTAATAAACCTTGCTGAACCTCATCTCTAAGGAGACAGTAACAATCTTTACTTCGCTGGGCTGTGGCGAGGCTGAAAAAAAGATAACTTGCCTGTATTTCTGGTTATAGTGGATTCTAAGATGCTAGCTGCATTCATGTCTCTCTGGGGAAGCACTTAGTTATAAGAGAGAGCTCTTGTACCTAATTTCCATTGGTTTTCCTGACTCCAAACTACTGCAATTTTGTGTGATTGATTTACCTACAGTTTCAGATTTTATAGACCAAATTCTATTTTATTTGCATTATAATGGGAGAAAGAGTCCTATGTCTTTTCACTGTTTAAATTTTTTATTATGGAGAATTTTGAGCATGTATGGAAATAGTCAGAATGATATAATAACCCTCTTTATCCACTGCTCTACTCCCAATCCATCAACCCATAGCCAACTCCATTCCACTATCAGGTACCGCTACCTTGTGGCTTTAAAATTTCATCCCAACCCCAGCTAGCATGGCTCAGTGGTTGAGTGTCACCCTATGAACAAGGAGATCATGGGCTTGATTCCCAGTGTAGGGCGTGCAGGAGGCAACCAATCATTGATGTTTCTCTCTCTCTCCTTCTTCCTTCCTCTTTGAAGTCAATAAAAATATATTTTTTAAAAATGTCACCCCAAAAGACCACATCCCCACAGTCTGAAATAATGATTATAAACAATTTCTTAAATGTATCAGTTAAGTAGATAGTTAACAGAATAAAAACATAGAGGCTATTTCTCCCCCAGCTTTTGTGTTTTGTAATTGATTTTTAAGCCAGAAGTGATGGGAAAGTGTGATCCATGGGTGGGAGGAGAGGGGTATACACACTTTAGTTAAAACAAAGTCAAATACTCTTATTTAATAACTGTATAGTATGACTAGAGGGAATGGCAAGATTTCTCTGGTCACCAAACTGTTGCTAGGAGCACCAAGATGGTACATGAGACCTTTGGAAAGTCCTGTCATTTATAAACATTGTTAATAATACCAACCAATAAGACATCAATAACAATGCACATTATAGATTCTGTCAAGCATTTTTGCATAATCTTTCATTATTTAAGTGGATTCCAGATTGATATTACTCTTTCAGTCAAAAGTCAGAACGTTACCTCGTATCCTTTCACGCTGTCCCCCAGAGCTTCCACAATCCCCGAGCACTCAAAACCTGGCACCAGAGGAGTCTTGGGAGGGTTGTCGATATTCCCTTGTCGTACCATCAAGTCAATGAAGTTTAAACCACTGTGATCAGCAAATGTGAAAAGAGAAAAATTCAAAATGAGATCCCAAAGCAAGCACTGGCATGGCTTTTCTTCTCTTCCCTTCCCTACTCCTCCCTTACTCCTTCCCCCCATTCCTCTCTCTTTCTTTTCCTTTCTGGAAAAGGGTGCCCAATAGTAACATCACTTAGCTCAATGTCACCAATAAAGCAAACCTCAATTATCTCTATAGACAAGTAATGCTTTCCTGGCAGTTAAAATAGCCGTTGCAGAGTTTACACTCTCTCTGAGCCAGCTTACTCTTACTTTTAGAAATACACATTGACTAGCCAGGTCATTAGCCATTCTAGCACTTAATCATGGGTAGAAAATACACTAGGAAGAAGTTATAAGAAGACACATGGAAAGCAGCCAGACATAATGGCCATTGGCCAAAGTAGGAGAAAAAAGACCTAATTTAAAAGGTCTCAAAGGAACAGTCACACTCCCAACTATCACACAAACTTACATTAGCGCAGTGCCATAAACAGCACCCATAATGGTGAATATGAGTCATCAAGAGATGACATTATGTCCAGATGGAGGAGGGGGACTCAAAGAAGAGAGATCACAGGGATGGACCACTGGATGCAGGAATAATGGAGGGCTGCTTTCATAATTTTTAGGTATCTCTGGATGAGAGGAGTTACTCCATATTTTCTATTAACATATTACTTTTAAGATAAGAACATTATAGTTAAAATATGTCAAAGTGATCACCTTGGAAAACCGTATACTTGATTGTAATGATGCTCTAAACCATGGTCAGCAAACTCATTAGTCAACAGAGCCAAATATCAACAGTACGACGATTGAAATTTCTTTTGAGAGCCAAATATTTTAAACTTAAACTTCTTCTAACGCCACTTCTTCAAAATAGACTCGCCCGGGCCGTGGTATTTTGTGGAAGAGCCACACTCAAGGGGCCAAAGGGCTCATGAGCCGTGGTTTGCTGACCACTGCTCTAAACTACATATATGTAAATTTTATTTATTTCGGAGAGGAAGGGAGAGGGTGAGAGAAATAAAAACATCAGTGATGAGAACCATTGATCAGCTACCTCCTGCATTCCCACTACTGGGGATTGAGCCCACAATCTGGGCATTTGCCCTTGACTGGAATTGAACCCAGGACTCTTCAGTCCGCAAGCTGAGACTCTATCCACTGACCAAACCAGCGAGGTCTAAACTGTATATATATCTATTTTTTTAAATATATTTTATTGATTTTTCACAGAGAGGAAGGGAGAGGGATAGAGAGTTAGAAACACTGATGAGAGAGAATCATCCACCAGCTGCCTCCTGCACACCCCCTACCGGGGATGTGCCCGCAACCAATGTACCTGCCCTTGACCGGAATCGAACCTGGTACCTTTCAGTCCGCAGACCAACGCTCTATCCACTGAGCCAAACTGGTTTCGGCTAAACTGTATATATTTTTAAGAGCTACAATTGGGAGTTGCATTTAACACCCATTTACTAACTAAATGAGAAAACACATCCCATTAAACATGTATTTTTTCCACCAGATGTGTTTTTAATAGACTCCCTGGTTTTATAAACCACCATCTAAGAAAGAGTTGGGTTATAGAAACCAAACTCCTTGGTCTGGCCCAAAGCTTGTTAGCATCTGACTATAGTTTCTTTTCCAAGCAAGATAACTTGAACTATCTCTTAAACACGGCTCACCTATTTCTTTCTTGGCCTCTTTGTAGCCAAGGAAGCATCTAATTCCACCTGGTCTTAACTCATCAGTTTGATCCATAGGGAGCAGGTATTAATGAGGACAATTGCCTTGATAGGTACGTTCAAAAATCACCATCTTCTCAAGTGTTTCCTGCTCACAAAGTAGGCAAGTTTCACATGTTGTCCAACTGGAGTGCCTCTAGTGTGTGCCCTCTTTGAAAGGAGCTGTGTGCCTCGTATTCCTTTGCCTCCAGGATGCCTGGCATAGTAACAGTGGGTATTCAAGTAACATCTGCTGAATGAGGAATATTCCTGTATATCTAAAAATCTGTGTTGCCAGTTTGCATACTACTTTTCAAAAATGGTCAAGGGATGCTCAGAGAAATGGACACATTTCTGAAATGTGTATGAGGATTTACTATTAACTTTGAAGGTGAATAGCCTTTAGGGTCATCTCTTAACCAAAGTGCTCTCCAATAACATGGCCGGTTTCTAAAGGGCTTGGGGAGTCTTGGGCACAAATCCCAAGTCCATCACCTTCTACCTGTGTAACCTTTGATAAGTTACTTAACCTCTCTAAGCCTCAATGTCCTCTGCTATAAAATGAAGGTTATGTTAATACCTATCTCACAGGCTTATGAGGAAAATTAATGAGAGTTAGTCACATAAATGTGGTGCCACATACATAGAAAATACTCAAACATTAGCCTTGAAATTTGCAATCTCTGTTAAGAAGGCAGAAGTATGTGATACAGTTTAGGAAGACTCTATTAAACAAGGGTTAAAATAGTTTCAGAACTGAAATGGAAAAACATCAGCTGTCTGTAATCTTCATTACTGTGAAATAGCCCATTTCCCAACACCACCAATTAAATAAAGCATAACTTAAAAGGAATTTCTATGTCCCAAATCAAACACTCCATCTCAGCAAACTGTTTTTCCTTTGTGTGAAAATCTATGATTTCCCCAGACCCTGATGGAGAAATGCCAGAAGTTACTTGGTAGTTCGGGGTCCAGGTTCGATTCTGGTCAAGGGCATGTACATTGGTTGCGGGCACATCCCCCCAGGTGAAGGCATTATCATGGACACTCATCACCCTGTTCAATAGGGTTGCCTTCGATCTCCATCCAGAATGAAATGGACATGGTAAGGGAAACTGAGAGCCATCTACCCAATTCCAGTGAGAATTTACTTTGAAATCCTATAACATCCCATTTGCTCACGGGGTTATGCAGTGACCCCATCAGGGTTGTGGAGAATGCCACCCATCTTCAGGGGAGGGAGGGGAATTGAAGCAGTTACATCCTGGGGGACAGGGAAGGAGTCAGTGTTGTTTATCTCAGCACAAAGGAGAGGTGAACAATTGTTAATAGAGTACCTTTCTGTAGATAGACCCTCTCATGGTGTCCGCCCACACCACCTCCTGATATGGATATAGCGAGCGTTTAGTGAGGGTTTTATTTGTAGCAGGAACTGTGCTAAGTGTTTACTTTTGCTATTTATATCTCAACTACACTCCTATGAGATATGAACTATCATACCCGTTCTTCAGATGAGGGACCTGAGATTCAGCAAGCTTGCATAACTTGTTTAAGGTCACATCTTCAGAAACTGTCAAAGTCAGGATTAGAATTCAAGCAAATTCTATTGGGTCGGCAACTAAGTAATTGCGTATTTTTTAAAGAAAATTAAAGACAATTTTTTCATGGAACTAAATAACTTTATTCTGTAATGTATTGCCCATTTTGATCAATGACCTTTTGCAATCTTTCAGGCAGCATCATAATCCCACGATAAAAAAACTTCTGGTTTTTATTAGCAAAAAACTGAATCAGGTACGATTTGACATCATCATCATTATTGAAATTTTTACCATTCAAGGAGTTTTGTAAAGATCGAAACAAAAAGTAATCAGATGTTGCAAGGTCAGGACTATATGGTGGATGTGGCAAAACATCCCAACCAAGCTCCATTAATTTTTGCCGAGTGACCAAAGATGTGTGTGGCCTTGCATTGTCATGATGGAATACAACACCTTTTCGATTTGTCAATTCAGGCCGCTTTTCTTCAACTGTATTGTTTACTTTCGTTAGTTGTTCAATGTAGACATCAGAATTGATCGTTTGGTTGGGTGGTAAGAGTTCAAAGTAGACAATTCCTTTGTAATCCCACCAAACTGATAACAAAACCTTCTTTTGATGAATATCAGCTTTTGATGTTGTTTGAGTTGGGTCACCTGGCCTGCTCCACGATCTTTTCCGCTTGATATTGTTGTAAACAACCCATTTTTCATCGCCAGTTATCAGTCGCTTTAAAAATGGATCATTTTCATTACGTTTCTTTAGCAAATCGCAGCTGCTAATGTGTTGCGTTAACTGTGATTCTTTCAGTTCGCGAGGAACCCATGTATCGAGTTTTCGAACATAGCCAAGTTGTTTTAAGTGATTTTCAATGCATGTATGTGATACATGAAGCTTCTCTGCAATCTCACGTGTTGTACTGTGACAGTCCGAATTGATTATTGCTTTGATTAGGGTGTCATCAACTTCAACTGGACGACCAGAGCGTTTTTCATCTTTGAGTGAAAAATCACCAGAACAAAATTTGGCAAACCAATTTTGACACTGCCGTTCTTTTAAGGCTTCGTCACCATAAACAGCACATAACTTTTTATGAGCTTGCGATGCGTTTTTCCCTTTGCGGAAATAAAAAAGCAAAATATGACGAAAATGTTCCTTTTGATTTTCCATTTTTCAACGAATGCCAAACGAAAACTACAAAACAGATCAAAAAACTTTTTTTACTGATTAACAGCTGAATAGCCAACTATCAAATAACAAAATGTGTTTTACATTTGTACTTCGTCTGCAAACCTAAAAATTCAACTGAAGCCATATATGTGTGAAACCCGCAATTACTTAGCTGCCAACCCAATAGAACCTGAGCCACTACACATTGCATGGACTTCTTTGTGGGAATTTTACCCACTGTCCTTGCTGAAGAGGCACACCCAAGGCACCATGTTTGTAGCTTATCTCTGACAGATGATTATACTAGTGGTCACCCAATGGTGGAGGAGTGGCCATACATAATCTAAGCAGGAACCCATTCCTTAGGATGTTTGCTCAAAAAATATGAATTGGAAAACATGCAGCAAGTGAACAACTTGTTACCAGAAAGCATGTCGAAAGATAGAATTGAGCTTGAGAGACCTAGTGACTTGTGCTTTAGGGAAACTAAGTGAAAACTCAGTAGGTAAAAGAATTAAAGAAAAGAAAGAACATGAAGAGCAGTAGA